TAATATTAATATTTTTTGCAGATTTTTACATTTATTGGGGCTGACTGACCAGCACTGTCCCGCTATTCAACTGACTGACTAACACTACTGTTATTTATATGTTATATATAATATGTATAACGATTTTCAGCTTTAGTAAATTCGTTGCATTACCCAAGTTATCTCGACACCTTTAACAAGACACCCTGGGTCCTTGTTCCAAGTTTCGCTTGACTGACCGCGGTATGTTTATGTACGTAAATACTGTAATTAACTGTCCAAAAACTAGCTTTAGTAAATTCAGAGAATTTTTTCGGCGCTGGCTCTTAGACTATTGTGGCATCTGTCTTTCATGGCTTCATTTTTTTGGCAGAAATGGCAATGTGTGCGCATTCCAGTTTTTAGCTATAGTTCATTGGTGCCAACAGTCGGCCATATTTGACACATCGTTGGATTGCCTAATTAACGAACGCCAAAAGTGTCGACACTTTCTACCATTCCGAACTCAGCTATTGTCGCCACTGTCTTGTAAAATAAAGTCACTATAGCTTTTATGCGGATAGTGCGCCATCTATCAATAATTATACTAGCTACTCAATAATAATATTATAGGATAGTGTTGTGTTTGATATAATTGATAGATAATAGATGGCGAAATCGAAATTGTAAAATTATATACATTTCTTCCCTGTGTGAGGTGGTGTTTTGGGACCCGGGGCTTTAGCCCCCAAAGCCCCCCCTTAATCCGGCCCTGAGTTTGGGAACCACTGGTTTAGTCGAATTCGGTATAATTGTTTGCTGTTTTCAATCTCCATTTAACAATTTCACTCGTATTTAACTTTGAAAATGTTCTTGAATCAATTATCAGATAATAGGATAATACTACAATTTGACGCAATATTCTTATTGATTTTTACTGCTTTTTGTCAATGGTCTATGTCAGTTCCATAGCCTTTTGTGATCCTGATTATGACAGCAGACAGACTTGATTTGAAATGCCAATTAAAATAAATGAAATTGTGACATCTAATGACAGTAAAATGAAACAAGAAAAGATTGTAAACGAAAGATTGGTTTTAAATTGGCCACAATATTTTGTTTGATTTGCATCTGGGGCCGGGGGGTTGATTTGAAATGTGCAAGTTAAATTCGTCTCAGTAAGTCGCAATTTTTGCCAGTATTCCACTGCTTAAAATTGCGACTTGAGACGAATTTGAATTGCACATTTCAAATAAACCCCCTCCAGTATCGTGTTTTCGTTTTCCACTCGGTTTTCCATAGCCTACTAAGTTCCCATTTACAAAATGAGACATCTAGCGGTACAGTACTGAAGCAAAATAAACGTGAATTTAAAATGTATTTTCTACGGGATCTTCCTCATTGGGTAATCTTCGACCAATGGTCGACGACCATATTGTTCCGCCGCGGCGATTCAATACCATAATTTCTTTCTGCCCCCGAATTTTCTTTTACGCGTCGAGTCGAATTGTCTCGATATCGAATACGATAGCTCTGGACTTACCGCGTAATAGGTATTGATAAATCGGAAAATAGAATCGCTATTTTGATAATTTGATTGGAATTTCGACTCGACGCGTAAAATAGAATCCGGCAGCTGTTTTAAAGTTTTAACTTCAATCAATCATTTTAAGTCGCGTGCAGCACAGTACACGTGATAGAAGTGAATATTTATCTATCGAATTGGTTGTGCAAAATATCCCAAATAACAAAGAGTAATGAGATTGATGCGAAACTTTCTGAAGTGAATACTTCTTTGACCGCATGAGAGTGAATTTTCAAGGTCGCGTCATGACACGATTTATAAAATTTTCGTCTCGCAAGTGAGATTAAGTATATGATGAATATAAGGGAGAGAGAGAGAGAAAGAGATGGTGAATGAAAGAGAGTATTGTTCTTAACGCATTAATGTAATATGTACAATATAGGTATCTCTCTCTCTCTCTCTCTCTCACTCACTCACTCACCCTCAACGAATCGATAAATAAGTATTCACTTCTATTACGAGTATTGTGCTGCACGCGACTTTTTTTTTTAATGTAAGTAATATTTATTGAAAAATTTAAATAATTCTCACTTTTTTGGAAAGATAATTTAAAAAAAATCGATTAATACCAACATTTTTGAAAGAAAATCATTTTTGAGAAGTTACCTTATCTCAACCATCACCCAAGATTCCATTTTCTCTTCATTAGGGTCCATCACAAATTCCTTGATTGATTAATTTATATGGATTCAATTGATTTAAATATTTAAAATTCGAATCCAATTTAAATTTTCCTTTTATAGGGCGTTTTTTGACAATTATTCGCGAAATGCCGATACCATTACCTAGATGGCTCAACATCATGGCCATTCTGTCAACTTTTTACCGAAATTTATATTGAATGGTAATCTTATAATAATACTAGCTGACCCGGCGAACTTCGTACCGCCTCTGAATTATTAAATATACCTATTAAATGTTGTGTTAACGTATCTATTAGCTGAATTAAATTCAGTTTTTTCGATGGTGAATTTGGCTTTGGTTGAAGAAAATTAATGTTTACTCTCTGGATCAGAAGTCACCTAAAATTAAAATTTTACATCATCCTTTTTTAGGCAGCTTGTGGGCATTATTCTTGTAAAGTGTACCACCAAATAAATAATCTCAGGCACAGGAATGTTCAAAGAATGTAAAGAAAACAAAAAAAAATCTCTAGCGCAGCCCTATTTCACTCTATCTGCACTGCATGCACTTCACTACTCCATCTGTTCTACTCTATCTGCACTACTCTATCTGACCTACTCTTTCTGCACCACTCTATCTGATCGGAATAGTGGAATAGTTCTGTGCAGCATTGTTCTACTGTATCTGTTATGCCGAGCTTCGTTCCAGGTATCAGAGATGGCGCGGTATACAAAATACAAAATACAAAATAAACTTGGTATCGGTTATAAGACATGGCGCCGTATGCGGGCTTAGTAAATTTTTTTCATAAATAAATAAAATAAGTAATGAAATGACCACATTAATGACATAACAACATGCTGGTACTGTCAACGCTGAAAAAAGTTTCAATTTGACAGCAAAATGATCCTCCATTTATTGAATAATTAATTTATTACAAAAAATGTGATAAATGAAGAACCGCTCGACCGATTTTGTGCAAACTTCACATAAACCATCTAATAAATAGTCCGAACAAAGCCTAAACATTTGGTTTGGCTAGGTGAGCCCGTTCTTGAGTTATAAAATTACAACGAAAAGTGGCATTCATTTTTATATATATAGATTAGAAAATTTAATTCATAAATATCCTCTTATACTAGAATTTTATAAGGTAGATGTAATATATGTAGGTGTACATATTTAGTTCTGTTCCGTTTTGTTCTGTTCTGTTCTGTTTTGTTCAAGTGGTGCAGTTAATCTAAATTAAATGAACACACCTACAAAAAGCAATGACAAGCACGTTTGATGGGGCATTATGGGAAAAAGTCGGTGTGAGCGTACTACGCGAGGGGGGACGGCTTAGACAAGGAAAGAGAGAGGACGCGTAACATCCTTTACCTGCACTAGCAGCTGGTTGTGACCGTTTGCCACCAAATAATGGCGACAATTTTTCATGGTGCCACTATGTAAATTTTACTTCAGACTAACATTTTTGTGATATTCAGCATGGTGGATTGCTAGCGTATGGCTGCAAAACCCGCAGAGAAAAAAAAGTCGATGGGATTACATTTAACAGGCAAAAAACAATATGCTTTCTAGGTTATGTTATCAAAAAAAGCAGACATTTTTTGGTGGCAAACTGCTTCATTTTCACCTGCTGTGTTACGAGTCCCCTCTCTTTCCTTGTCTAAGGGGGACGGCCATTCGGCCATTCTTGCCTGGGATCAGGTCAGGGCAATAAGCAGCGTGCGTACCTAATTCAAAAAGAAGAAAGACGAAAGACGAGTGCAATTCTGAGTTGTTTAATTATTGGCAGTGAAGAGCCGTGTCACTCCTATAATTACCTATATAAACCTTGCGTTCGGTATTTTGCTCAAAGAGCAGAGCGTGCCGAGCGGAGCCATAATCACGTGACCAGTGAGCGAACAGAGCAGTTGAACGCTGTATAAAAGTGCCAGAAATTTTAATAAACGAACGCGAATGAGGCTGCACCGAGTACACTTTTTAAATAAACGAACGGTAAAGTCAAGCTCGGAGAACTCGGACCAAAATAACGAACGCACGGATAGACGAAGAGGAAAGCCGACACCCTTTGCACTAATTAAGTGAGTAAAAGGCTAAAGACGTGGCTGCCATTTTTTTTTGCAAAAACCTAATCCCAAAAGACGAGACACTCTATCCCATCCCATCATATTTGATCGACTATTTGCTATTAAAACCAATCCAATTTCACCTGGACCTTTTATTTCATCCCACAAACAACCAAGAAACCAAGGAAAAAGCCTACATTTTGGGGGCTCAACCGGGATAAAGTTAAGGATAAGGATCGGGATTGGAGTTTGAAGATTGGAGATTAAAGATTGACGATTGGAGATTGTGGATTAGAAATTGCAAATTGGGATCATCGACGAAAAGAAGTTGTGTAGTGCAATAAAGTGAAAAGCTACCAGTGATTAGTGAAAAGTGCCGTTTTCAGTAGTTTTTCAGCGCTACAAAATGGCTGAATTTTGCCAAAGCATCCCCGAGTCCTGGATGTGAGGCTAGTCGGCCATTGAAATAATTGTTCTGTCTCTGTGGGCTGCGTTCGAAAACAGTCCCCGAGTATCCCCGGCTACCTCGATATCGTCCGAAAACTCATTGGGTACACTCGGGGACGCTCGGGAATGGCGTTCGAAAACGTCCTCGGGTGCACCCGATCGGGGAGATTTACACCTTGCTCGACTAGGTAGGGACGGTTGGGTATTTTAGCGCGGGAAAAGAATTCGAATAACCGTGAACCGTGGGAACTAACCTTAACCATATTTTTCCGTGAGCACTCGGAAACACAAACCATAGACACAAACCTCGGAAAATGGAAAAGTTTGATCCAACCGTCCACGTTTTGTGCGTAGATGAGGCACAAAAGCCACTTAGGGATGAAGAAAATCCTAATCTGGTGGCTTATTTTAACACGAAATGTAAGTATAGAAAATAATTATATCCTCAATTCTTTTTTACGACGTTACCGTTTCATGATGCCCGATGATGGTACTACCAATTAATAATTTTAGCCCAGACAGTCGTAATGCTTCTGGAAACCGAGGCATTCCCGGAAAAGATGACTACCCAAGTGGAAATGGAGAGTATCGAGACTTCTATGATGAAGACCCAGGAGACCATAGGCCTAGGTAGTGGTGACTCTCTTGCAAACCCCGATGTCATGGCCACAACTCAGGATGAATTTGGTATGCATTTAGGTACTTCTTATGATCTTTTAACTAAAGTTTTTCATTGTTCTCAGTCTAATTAATCATTCAATCTTTTAATTTATTTTTCAACAACAAATATCTTATTTCATTATTGTAACAAGCCTAGCATCCTTATAGTTCTATTTTTGTAGACGATGAAGATGACAGGGTAGCTAAAAATGCTGCTAAATGGCACGATGATAATGCTATCAGACACCTCATTTACCTACGAAAAGTAAAGCTAAAATCCCTATTTGATAGCACTGCCCTTTCAAACCAACGTAAGTGGCAAAAGTTAGCAACTGAGCTTGCAGCTGCAAAATTAGGCAACAAGTTCTGGACGTTTACTTGGAAACAGTGTGAGGGCAAATTCAAAGACCTGGTAAAGAAATATAATAAAACAAAAGATAACCAGAAAGATACTAGTAGTGGAGCTGTTTCAATAAGGTTCAAGTTTTATGACGACATGGAAGAAGTTAGTAGGAACAGTGTCTCAGTGAAACCTTTATCCACAGCCAGCAATTTAACAGCAGGTGATGACAAGATATTAAATAATCATGGTGATGCTGAATCATCATTCTCATCCCAAGATGAGAGCAGCAACGCAACAGAGAGGAAAGAAAAAAAATCAAAACTTGAGAATAAAGTTGATTCTCTGTTAGCTTCTATTAAGCAGAAAGACGATGAGAAGGAGAGGAATCAGGAGCGCCGTCACAAAGAAGTGCTCACTATGCAACAGACTGCAATTGACACGTACCAGCAGGTGATGAATCGTTTGATTGACAAACTGTAATCCATTATTGTTTTTAAGTTTGCTTTTTAAACTAAGCAACAACTCTAGTTTTTAAATTATTTACTGTATCCTATACCTAACATTAAGTTGACTTGCGTTGAAGTCAGGTGTTAATTATTGCCTTGAAAGGTTGAAAGTAGTAGTAAAAGTTTCGAGATTATTTTTAAGTTTGTATTAATGTGATATTTTTAGTTTATTTAAGGGAACCAATGTGAATTCCAAAGAGTTTAAGTTTAGGTTTAGTAAATTTGTTTCCTTTGTTCTTTTGTGATTTAAATGTACCCATTACTGTGCAAATAAAAAGTGATAATATTAAGGATAATATACAAGTATGAAAATAAAGTTTTGTTTTGAAAAAAAAAAAACAATTCTATTTTATTAAGGTAATTCATGCTTATATAATCATAGGAAGAATCAATTTTTTTCCAAAATTATTTTCAGGTATGAATTTGTAAAGTTAAAAGTGTCAGTCAATACAAACATTTTTACAAAAAATTATTCTACTATTGGTACAATAGCTGCCAAATAATTCCTTTTTGCCTGTCCGACTTCCTCCTGTGGTGCAGCTCCTATGGCATCCCGCCCTTCATTGTTCCCTCTCAGATTAATATTTTGACGACCCTCTTCTACAAACTCTTCGATGTCATCATGGACACCATCCAAACAAATGTTGTGCAACACACAACATGCCAAAATGACATAGGATACCATATATATCCTATTCATATCTAGGTATTTCAGTCTTCTGAACCTTCCCTTCAGTAAAGCAAATGCTCTTTCGATCACTTGTCGAGTCCGAGCAAGTGCTTTGTTGAAATTTTTTTGCACCTGAAAGAGGTATACTGAGTTAGAAATCATGCACAGGCAGTAAGCAGATCTATATAAACCTGAGTCAATGCACCATGATCCCTGTAAGCAGTAATCAGCCAGGAAAGGGTGGGGTATATTTTATCCCCAATGATGTACCCATTATCTGGAAACATGGCAGCTGTATCTCTCATAGCTTTTAAATACAGTGGGGAGTTCTTTAGAACACGAAGGTCACCCACACTCCCAGGATAACCAGCAAAACAATCCAGAAACCTTAGATTGGGCTGGCATACGGCCTGCAAGATGACTGTATACTTTCTTTTCCTGTTGATGTATGCCTGAGATTCAATCTAGAAAACAATTTCAATATGTACCAAAGTGTAACGTGTAACTGCTACACTTTCTATGCTTTTAGAGCATACAGTATAGTGTGTCCCATTTTGGTTCCAACGGTAGGGTTTCTCAACTATTATTAAAGATAGAAACTTGCTATGTTAATTTTTTGAGAAACTTTTAAAGCCGTAAACAAAAAATCTAATTTTTTTTGGTACCTCACTGGTCTAAAATGTCTATCAGGAGCATTTCTTATTTCTTTTTTTTATTTCCCATGGTATGTGAGATATGTCCCAATCCGAAAAGTGAAAAATTTCATTTAACACTCTGTATCTTAGAAGCGAAACAGGCTAAATTACTTCTCTTTGTGGCATTAAAAGTTTCACAAAAAAAAAATGCCACAGTCTCACAGATTAGCGAAAAACAGCAACCTTTATTAGTAGCCTAGAGTCCCTCTGGCATGAGAAATACTGTACTGTAGTCCAAGGCCAAGGTGCGAACCAACATAAGCAGAGTACAAATAAAGTGCGTGCTCAGCTATGTGCTAAATAACATTTTTGCTGCTAATTTCCCTTTAAGTATTGAAGGTAAGAGAAGTGTTATGTAAAAAATAATCTTCCTATATTCGAACCTTGATGAACAGTACTTTAAATCATACCTTTGGAGCTTTAATTTCTACATCTGTTCCATCAATTGCTCCCATTACATCAGGCAGCCTTGCCCATGAAAAGAACTTTCTTTTTATTTCCCTAGTTTCTTCTGCATTTGGCCATCTGATAAACCCTCCAGAGATACTACACATACTTTTTATAACCCGTACAAAAGAATCACTGGCTGATGACTTTCCTGCGTCAAAACGGTCCCCAACGGATCTGAAAAAAATGTATTGACCTTTCTGACAAGAGTATTATAATATTTCATAATATTCTGTGATTTTAAAACCAAACCAAAGATTGATTTATACAGCTGCAGTCTCATCGGCATTGCCACTTACAGCTGCTAAATATAAAAGTAATAAAATATTTATCATACAAATTTTGAAAATTATACATACCGATAAGAATCAGGAGTGGCTAGCTACCACAAAGTCATTAGGAGCTGAGTGCGCACAGGAATCATTGAACGTTCAACGTTGTTTGCTTTCGCCAATTTAGGTCCCAATATATTTTCTAAATTTTCAAACACCTCCGGCTTCATGCGGAAGTGCTGGCGAAATTGACTTGAATTCATATTTGGAATGGTCCTTAATAAATAGCTTTCAATACGTACAGGTTTTTGTCGTCTTCCTCTCAAATTCACCATGATCTGGTTTAAATAATACATCTGAAGATTTATGACGCCTTCTACTTGATGCTGGGATTCTGTTCTAAAAATAAAGGTGTCCAGGAGTGCGTTCAAAGACGGCAATGCTAATGCCAAAACCTACTATTCCCCTTCTACCGGCGATGCCAAATCTGGTGTGAATTCGCTGGAACGCCAAATACCGTTTCTCAATAAGCAATCCAAACCACGTGACATTCAATATGGCGTGGCGACCATACATGGACCAAAAAACACAAAAAATATCTAGTCTCTGCCCGACTTAATAGGTTACGTAATTAGTTAACAAATATTTTATTGAATAATCAAAATCGAAGCTGCAAACAAACAAAATGATTGAAATATGAATGAAAACACATAACTTGCTGGTCGCCACGCCATATTGAATTTGGTCTCATCCAATCAAAATTCGTATAACCATTTCTAAACTCAGTTGAAAGAGCCTCCAAAAGTTACTTTACCGCGGCCGATTTGGAACGTGTAAAGCCAACCGTTTTTGGCACGCTGGAGCCGAACTTGAACGCAATATGCCAATTTTGGCTCGGCTTCAGCCGTTTTTGAACGCAGCCCAGGGCTGCGTTCAGGAATGGCTACAGCCAAGCCAAAATTGGCATTTTGCGTTCAAGTTTGGCTCCAACCTACGTGGTTCGGCATTACCGATGGAGGGGGAAAAGTAGGTTTTGGCATTAGCATTGCCGTCTTTGAACGCACCCCAGGAGGTGATGACTAGCACTAATAGCGATCGCCAATATAATATTCCGCTCCCTCTGATCCATGATTTATAATAAACAAACATAGATAATATGTTTTTGGCAAAGACTTGAAGTTTCCTGAAAGAATAATAGGTTTATGTTGCTATAATAAATAAACAACAACCGACCGGTAACAGCTGACAAATCAAGTGACAACTGACATTCACTAAAACCAAACTAGGGTTCGAAAACTCGAAGGCCCTCGGCGGTCCCCGACTGTCATCTTCCCCCTCCATCACCGTACCCCAGGGGACAGTTTTCGAACGCAGCCCTGTATGGGAAGTGGTTTCTGCTTACGAGGCTAACACCAGCAAGAGCGGGGCGGGAGTCAAGTCAAAGCGTTGTTGCCGGTTGTTAACGTATGGTCGCTGTCAGTCAACAAGGAACGCGCGAAATTCGAATGGAAGGGAGGATTTGGTCAACAAGTCAAATTAATTACTGCTCCAGTGATTCAAAACGTGGTACATATGGTTTGGATTTGTGTCAAATTGGTATTGTTGTTTTGGAATGTTTATTAAGAAGCTAATTAAGGTAGGATGCATGATTCATGTATGAAAAATTGTTAAACTTTATTGTTGTTTTGGCTCAATTTAAAAAAAAAAAAAGAAACAACTGCTGGTTTGTTTCTGAGTGGTAAATAATAATAATAATAATTATCTTGTTTTGTGTTGTTTACACAGCCATAAGGCAAAATAGGGTAATATAAATTAAAAAAAAATTTGGTTTTTCAGTCTTGTTAAAATTTTGAAAGTTTTTGAGGTTAATTAATTAACTACATTAATAATTAAGTTGTTCTAGTTCAATTTTTATGCTTTATGCAACTAAATATTGACTAATTTAGTTGTTTAGCTTGTTTATTTTGAATATTTTTTCTTGAAAAGAAAAATTGCCAGAAAATTTGTATTTTTTTTATAAAGCAAGGCAAAATTAATCTGTTTATAGAAGTGAGGAGTTATTTCAATCATTGAATTTGAATTTTGTTGATATTTGAAGATATTTTTGGAGATATTTTTGCTTTTTAGTTTACTTTTGAAGTTAATTAAAAAAAAAAGTTGTAAATATTGAGTATATAGGACGTTTGTAAATTGTTTATAGTAGGTCGAGTAGTAGGTATACCTTGAGGTATACAAATAGTTTTTAGGTATCTTTTGATATTTTTATATTTTTCTAGTTTTGTAAAGGGGTGTCTTGACTTTTGTGGTGTATATTGTTTTAATGGTTTTGAGTATTATTTAAAAAAAAAAGGTAAGTAAAGGGTGCTTAAGTGTCAAGACCGTAAATTCCGAAACTTTTTCTGGATTGCATCGTTTTTTTTCTTCCTTCTTTGAATTTTAAATTATTAAAAATAAAAGCTATGTAATTGTGACTTAAGTTTTGACTAAAAGAGAATAATGGCTAATTTAGGGAGTATTGATAAAATCGAGCAAAATTTAACAAACGCCAAATTAAAAACGATTCAAGCGCTGCATGCCATTGCTTTCGGTAGGGAAGGTCGCCCGCAAGTGGTGAGAAGAAGTGTGCGTAAGTTTACCGGGTTTGGTTTAGATAAAAGTTCTGTGGAATATGACCAAAAAGTGAATAAAGTGAAAAACGATTTGCCTTTTAATGATGTGATTGCAGTGTGTCATGTATTAAACTTAGATTATAGTGGAGATCAGAATGAACTGATCAATCGTGTTTGTTCTTTTATGAATGATTTAACAGTTGAAGACGATGAAGCTGAAGAAGAACAAGACGATGAATTAGTAGAGGAAGAAAATAGTGAAGAAGAAAACGAAGAAGCAGACGAGGAAGAAGACGACGACGTGCCTTTAGCACAAATAAGAAATCAGAAAACAAAAAGTGGATCTTTCGCATTGACTTTCAGAGACGTGGAAGATAGCATAAGAGCTTTTAGTGGGAAAGAAGATTACCCAATAAACAAATGGATTTCTGATTTCGAGGAAATTGCAAACATTACAGGATCGAGTAGCTTACAAAAACTGATATTTGC